GACCTGAACCGCAGGGGCAGCGGCGGGTGGCGTCGACGAGAGATGCCCTGGGAATGCGAGAGATTTCGAGAGCTGGGACCTTGAGAATGGTTTGTCAATCTCACGGCTGAGGGAGGTGGGGAGCAAGGGTGGAAGCTATAGAGTGTCAGTTGGGGGTCTTCTTTACAGCAGCAGGGTTTCAGGATTCGAAATCTGTGTAGGAACTCACGGCCTGCATGGCTTACACCAGGTTAGACTTTCGAGCGGCGGCTGAGGGCTTTCTGGAGGCATCTTAAGTCTTAATGAAACTGAGCAAAAATTGCTAAAAGGGAGGTAAATCTTAGGTACGTTTGAAATCCAGATTGCCACCTCAAACTTACTTGCAATTTACCTCCCTCCTGGCATCTCGGTCTCAGAACCCCCCCCCCCCACCCACCCGCACCTCCCTAGACGAGCGCGGCCCTGCCAGGGGCCTTCTCTTCCGAGACCTCCGCAGGCAGAGGGGCAGGGGAGGGGAGCGGAGCGCTCTCCTTCGTTCTTTCGCGCCACGGGGTCTCCGCAACTCCTGCGCTTCCGCTTCTAATCGGGTTTTTTGGGGTATGGTCTACTGTAAGTATAATATAAGGCACCCCTCAAACAGTATATATGGGTATTTGTTTAGGCCCCTATAGTATCTTGCTCCGGCATCTGCAACTCCTGAGCCCCCGCAAAGGACGACGTGGGAGAGCCTTGGGGCAGCCGCCCGGGAGAGCCCTGCAGAGAACTCCGCCTCGGCACTCCGCCGAGCTTGCCCCTGGCCTGGAGGAGGGGATGCTTTGGGGACGGCGACGCTTCGGGGAGCGATGAGCCCTGGCGGAGGCACGGGAGGGGGTTCCTGCTTTTTGTCTGCCGGACGCAGGCCGACGAGAGGCGTCAGGCCGTGGCCCTCCTTCAAAGGCTCCGCGAGGATACGAACACGTGAGCTATATATCACTCTCTCTATGCGATGCGCACGTTGCTTTCACGAGAAACTGTCACGGGGCCGAGTCATACCACGGCACGAAATGAAAAGCATCGAACATCGAAACCTATCGAAACACGAATTGAATTAAGCCTAACACCTAAAATTTGCGTAGTCGTGTGGCAGAACAAACATCACAAACACGGCCCGCCCCGTCCTCAGTCCAAAAAACGAGAGCGTCCCTGCCGTCTTCTGCGCAGGGGAACCAAAA